GGGACGAGGGCGGCGGCGTGGTGGTGGTACCAGGACGACTACTGCTCTGGCTCGGTGATGTCGGAGCGGGTGTCGGGGCCTGGCGGGCTCCATCTACCGAGAGTTCGAGCGCCTCATCCACTGCTATGATGAGGAGGTGGTCAAGGAGCTCATGCCGCTCGTGGTCAACGTGCTCGAGAACCTAGACTCGGTGCTCAGCGAGAACCAGGAGCACGAGGTGGAGCTGGAGCTGCTGCGCGAGGACAACGAGCAGCTGCTTACCCAGTACGAGCGGGAGAAGGCGCTGCGCAAGCAGGCCGAGGAGGTGCGTGGGCCGGGCCGCGCTGGGGCCCCGCCCGGGGACCCCGCCCTGCCCAGACCCCCAGCTCCCGACCCGCCCATCCCATCAATGTCCCCTGAGCCCCTCATCCCGCCCCGGGGGAGAACCCTGTCTCCCCCTTCCTCCTGGCCTGCTTCTCCCACCGGGAGCCCTGAGCCCTGAACCACCTGGCCTCACCAGGGTCGCTTGTAGCTTAAATTTCCCTTAATCTCGGGCCTCCATCTCCCTTCCATACCCACCTCTCATTCCAGATGCCAGTTCTTTTTGCTTTTGCGTGCTTTTCGCAAGCATTTCCTAGACCCCAGTTACTACCTCTGGTTACTGCAATTTTAAACCCTCCCGGAAAAGGGATTTCTGATCTTGTTATGGTTCTGTACCAGAAGAGGTCTGTTGTAAGAAGACCTTTTCCTCGTCCCTGAACCAGTGTTTGATCGTCTGTGACATGGGTGAATTTGCTGATTGGTGTAAACACATACCCAGAGCCGCAGTTAGATTGCTCCTCTGGCACCAGGTGAAAGACTCCAGGTCCGGGGGTGATTTCTTTGCTCTGTGGTTCCCCGCATTGGGAAGATTGTGAGCTTCTGTGAAAAAGGCTGAGAAATTCCATATTGCTTCTGAGGCAATAAAAGTAGAATTAGAATTTTAGAATATTTGGTCATGTTCTAGAATATCTCCATAACCTGGAATTCACTTATTTGTGAACCAGTTAGAAAAACCGTGCATTGTAGGGATACTCCTTACCTTCATTCAATCACCATCACATATTTAGCTCTGACTGTGTACCAGACCCAAGTGGATTCAGGACATGTGTGTTCTCATCCCTGCTTTGCCTCTGTGACCTTGTCCATGTTGCCTGCCCACTCTGAATTTTTGTTTTCTGTCAGTTGTATGAGTCAGTTGCCCTAGGTGATCTCTGAGCCCTGGCATTCTCTTATTCCAGGCATAAAGCGAAGCTCCTTGATTTGTGACTAGGAAGTTTCTTATTAGTAAGCTAAATTCCTTTTTACTTAATTGGGCTTAACACATTCTTGACTTCAGTGTTGAAATCGAAGAGTGTTTCAGTATTTTTGCTTTTTCTTAAGTCAGAGCAGTTTATGATCTAGTTTGGTTTAAAGTGTGTTTATAAAATTTAATGGTGCCTTGTATCATTCCTACCTTTGGTGGTTTGTTTTGCTTTTGGGTTTCACATGTCTGTCAAGAGGCTGTTGTCTATTGATTGGGGTGCCAAGCTCCACCAAAACTGATCTAGGGCTCTCAGCTGAAGGAGCTAGAAGAGCTCATAGGATTTTAGAGTTCAGAGTGGCCCTGGGCATTTACTAGAGAAAGAGCTGGCCTGGAGAAGGAGGGGGTGGTGGGCCAAGATCACATGCCCTAGAAGAACCAGGCCTGGACCCATTCTACCCTGACCCCAGTCTACCCTGACCCCTGGCATGGGCTCTCCCTTCCACGTCACGTTGCTGTGGGAAGTCAGAGAGCTGTACCCTCAGAAGACTGGAGGACTGGGGCTCCCCTCACCTGGTCGTGGGGCAGTGGCTGCCTCCGCCCACTTCTCTGACTACTCTCAGGGGCCATTTGACGCCTCCCTGAGGTTTTGAGTAGGTTTGTTTTCTTTCATCCCATACCTTTACAGTAATATAGTGGACAAGAAGGGGCAAAAAGGAGAAAGATGGACCACTTTAAGACTAAGAATCATAAACTTCTAGCTTAAAAATGAGCTGTGAGAGGGTTAGTCCCCTGCTCTGCTCTGTGTACTTCAAGTGCAGCTGAGAGCCAGTGTGCCTCTGGCCTCCCACTTAACACTCCCCTGGACTGAGAGCTGGGGAGGTGGGGGTGAGGCGCATGTGTGGTTTGGAGGAGACTGCCTTTGGGGCAGAGACCCACCCTTGGCCCAGCTACTAAGAGAAGCTAAGCAGAGAGTCCCGGAGCAAACAAATGATTGGCTGGCCAGCTTGGAGGCCGTGATTTGATGCTAATAGGATGCCCTTGGAGAGACCTCGTGTGATTTTACAACTGAGAAAAGGGCCAAATACTGTAACCGTTTTGGCATTCTGGCTCACTTACTAAATCCAGCAGTCATTTTCAGTTTTGTGGAAAAGACCAGTGTGCATTGTGGACTGGCTTTTTCCAGACAGAGGCTGAGATCACAAATGCGTGTCTGATAATACAGGAGCTGGAATGGCACAGGCTGCGGGCGTGTGTGTTGCAGAGTAGCTCCTGCCTCCCTGGCCACTCTGTTCAGGAAGGCTTAGTCAGAGCAGGGTAACCTGAGCCGCCTGCAGCCTTCTGAGCACACAGAATCTGCAGATTTCAAAGGGAAAAAGCCTTGGGCAGAACAAACACCCTGGTTGTCTACTTGCCCGTAATAACAACAGTGAGAAATTGCCAGTATGTTCTGGTCCCAAGGTGGTGCTCTTGGTGGGAGTGATGGTAGCTGGTGATGGTGCGGTTCAGGGAGAGGGATCAAGCCCCAGCGTCCACAGATACAGGCTTGGGTGCCAGCCTTGCCCTGGGGAGCTGCACTGGCTGCTTCTGGAAAGCAAGTGGGTTGCCAGACGTGGCAGGTTGCCTTCATCTCAGGTGCCAAGTCCCATCGTTGGCCATTGTTTGCCTAGAGAATTGCAGCACGCGGATTTCGCCGAGTCAGGGAAGGGCACCTTGATGGGGCCGGCTTGGATGGCAAGCATTGGGCATCTCAGTCTCTTAATTATGCCGGGATGTGCCCTTGTCATCAAGACCACTGAGTCCCACTCAGACTTGCAGAGCTAAATGGATGTGGCTTCTAAAACCTCTACGGAGACCTTTAAAGTGCTGAATCTGTAACCAGGACAAAATGTGACAAACCCTCCGAGTTCCTTCCCATTAGAAAAGAAGGTTGGAAGTGCCTGGGGCTGCTGGGAGCAAGTGTACCCCTCGGCAGCGCCACCCACTGTGCCCCGAGGGAGGGGTGAGCAGGGGGCCGAGTTTGCTCTCCTCTTGGGCAGCAAAGAGCCTTCCTTGCCCTGATCAAGCACCTTGCTCACGGGAAGAAAAACTGGGGGACACGGTGTGAATTGAGTAGCCATTATTTGCCTTAAAATCTTCTTAGCCTTAAAGAAACTACTAGTAACACACCCCCTTTGTCACAAGCAACTCGAGGGGCTATTCTGTTGGGGAAACACATACGTGGATGTTTGCTGATACTTCAGTATTTGGAGCTGTGTAGGGAAAGCATCCAGCTGGAAAGTTTGACCCAAAAACTGGTTTTTTTTTTTGTTCTAGTTGTACAAAAGTGATGCATTTCATAGAAGAGTATTTGGAGAGGGTGAAGCTGGAGGTGGGGGAAAGCCATAATCCTACTCTATAGAGATGATAATTTTGCCTTTTTTTTCATGAGTGAATTAATACATTGGATCCAAAGTTTTCCCTCTTGTTTCCCACATTCCAAATAGTAAATCCACCACTGTCTGGACAAAATATGTGATTTCTTCTTCTGCTGCATTGTCATATTAAGAACAGTTTTGTGGGTTTTTTTAATAGTTAACTTTTTTCAGATGAAACCATTAAGATTTGGTGCCTGGAGCTGCCTTTTCCTGGTCACCTCTAAATGTCGATCCCTTGTATGTCTGCTAGTCACCAGGAGTCCCGCAGAATCTCCCTAAAAAATGGAGACAAATAGGCATAGAAGAGCAGAGAGAGGCACTTGCCTGCCAGGAGTCCTCAGGGCCCCGTGGTGGCAGTTAGCAAGGCTGAGGACAGGTTGGTTACAAGTTAGTTCTCCCAAAACTAGGATTTCTAAATTGATATCTGGATTTTTTAAAGTTTCTGTTTCAGAATAATTTATAGAAAAGTGTAGAAGTTATTTATGGAAAGTCACACCCAGATTCCCCAATGTGACCGTTTTTCCACCTTATTCTTCTCTCTCTCTCCCTCCCTCCCTCTCTGCTAAGACCTGAGAAGTCCTGCCGGCTCCCCGTAGCGTCCTCTGCTCCCAGTCGGCATTTCACGACCTTGATGATGGTGACATCACAGCTCCCTGGATGCCCGCAGTTTGGCTTTCATGTGACCTCATGACCAGATGCAGGATGGGAGTTGGGGAGGGATCCTTGTGTGTAGCACAGGGTCCCTTTTCTCAAGTTCTCGCTTTTCATGAGAGTGCGAGGGTGATCTGTTAAGGCAGGGAAGATCAGAACAGCAGACACACCGGAGTGCTGTCCGTCATCAGCGAGACAGATGATCTTGGTGGCGTTCGTTTCCCATGCTCTGTTTAAAGTCAGGCCCCCGAGGCTGGTCATCATTGCCGCCCACATCCAGCTGCTCACTGAGTCCCGGCCATTCTTCTGGCCTGATTTTCTTTTTGACGTACTTTCTTTTTTAATCTCCTTTGCCACCACCCTGGTTCCAGTTGCCCCATCACTGGTCCCCCAGCCACTTTGTTGCCTGTCTCAGCCCCACTCCAACAGCATGACTCGTCCAAAGGCAGATCCTGCCTCCCACTCTCACTTGTTTGTCCACTCCTTCAATGAGACGTTCCGAGTGCCAGACTTAGCTACAGGCTCCGGGGATTAGTTCCCTGGTGTCCTGGGGCGGGCCTTCAGATAGGGAGGGCCACACATTCAGAGGATGAGAAAATGGGGACACAGGATAGAATGAAGGGTCGGGACAGGGACTGCTTTGGGTAGATGGAGAAAGGGAGACTCTCTCAGGAGGGTACTGCCTTCAGCCAGGGCCTGGCCTTGCTCTGATGAGGTCCCCAGGCCTACCTCCCCTGCCAACTCCCCCCTGCCCTTCCATTTCCTTCCATCCCCCACCCTGCATGGCGTTCCCTGCCTGGACCACTCGCCCGTTCCTGTGCGCACCTGAATCCCTCATGTTGGGCACCATGATATGCAGATGCAAGTGCTTGAGTGAGTCCCCATCGCCCCGGAGTCCCCATGGCTGCTTTGTACTTAACCAAAGGGCAGTGACCTGGTTCTTTCAGCCCCAAGGCTGGATCTTTTCTCCCTGAC